GAGCGATTGGCAATGCTTTTCTTGGTTCAGAATAAAAGCGTGCACATATATATATAATGAGATATTTATCGCAAATTTTTGGATATTTTCTCGATTCCAAATTGGTGGATTTTGTCAAATTCTAATTCAACTCGTGAAAGATTTTATCTTATTTGTTTTGATTTAGTGTTATTGAGGCAAAAATAAAATTATTGTAACGTGTTAATAGTTTATTTATTTGCTATGTAATACATTAAGTAAATGTTCGATACATAGTATTTTTTATTTTATAATTTATAAAATAATTATTGGTTTCTTATGTTATGTAACACTTTAAATAAAAGAGAAATTAGAAAAAAAAAAAAAAAAAGAATAATTCTCAAAAGCAAAATGGTATAAATTCAACATCTAAAATACCCATTTCTTTTAGATATTTGGGTTAGAGAGAATCCATGGCCAGGATCCATTTTGTGTCGGGTCTAGATTTAAACATAGAATCAAACTTGTCTCCTCTTAAACACTAATCACCTCATTAAGCCAATTTAGACACCTTTATTGAATAGATTAATTGATACTTCTTATCGGAAATCTACAAACTCAAACTCAAGATCGACTTACTTAATACGTATGTCATATAGGATGATCCCGACACAACTCACACAAGGATAATCTGCAAAATAAAATGTTCACTAGTTTACTGTAAAATCTGATACTTGATAAAAGGATGATTTACAAACAAAAAAGAATTACCGTTTCTCTTAAGACCTAATGGTGTGAGGCGCATTAGAGATTTTCGAGTTGTGTTGGACATTTTGGGTTCGAGTCCTTATCTATGCACCCACGTATTACCTGGGGGTTGTGGTGGTGGGTTCTTGCAATACTCTCTTGAGGATTAGCACCCGCGTATTACCTGGGGACTGTGGTGGTGGGTTTTTGCAGTACTTCTCGAGGATTAGGGCGATTCGGCTTGTCAATGGACCGGGATACCTTAGTGTTTTAAAAAAAAAAAAAAAAAAAAAAAAAAGGTTCTGATATAGCTTGTGTTAGATTTGATAATAAAATCAAAAAATGAAAAATTTGACAGAAAGAGCACTATTATCTGAAATGGTACATGAATGACATCTAGAGGGCATGTCTTGAGGCAATGTAACAGGCCACATGTTTAATCCTTGCTTTCGGCCTAGATTAAGGGGAAAGCCTTCCCATATTGAGTATGTTATACTGTCTAAAGCTGCGCCTCCCCCTTTTCTCAGTTTCAGTGCTGTCAGTGTCTAAATCTCGAGGGACATAAAACTTTTTCATGGACATTTCAACCAGCACACAAACAAACCCTACACTCAAATCATCATTCATGTTTTAGACATCAAGTAGTGCTTAATTAATTCGGTCGTTTTCTTAGGACATTAAAACATTCGAAAAGTGAATAAAAATAAGATAATAAACACTTCTCACAAACTTCTCTTATTAATACTAACGTGATAATTCGTAATTAGTCAACTTATATTTGGTCAGATGGAATTTATTATTAGACAGACGAGACCTATTACGAACTGATCAATTACGAGCTGATACTTTGTATTTGTGGGAGAAAGTTTGTGATAACAGTTTATGAGTGTAGTATTACTGTTCGAAAATTTTCTTCTTTATATCTGTTGCATATACAATCAGTCTATAAAAGAGCATGTCACATCTATACACGTGACGTATAGATACACCCTCGTTGAGTGATTATATGTGTAATGGATATACTGAGGCCGGTCGAGAATTATCGTTTCCTTTCTTTAATTGCTCTCCAAGGTTGAGTTATGACTTATGATTAACCGAGAGATATAATTAGTTGGCTAGACAAAAAAATGAAAGTTTTCAAAGCTATCAAGGCTTTATTTTTAAGTTAAAATCAAGTTAGTTGATGATTAAGGCTTGTTGATAAAAGGGTCTTTATTTTCCACCAAGTGGCTTGCCACCCAAGACCTAACCCAGTCAAATTCTTAGCCTAATCAAATTAATTAAATACTCGATATATCATGTCATTAATATATTTGTTCAATAAAAATAAATCATATATATATATATATATGATCATAATATTATCTAAAATTTCTTCGACCCATCAATGTAATGGGTCCAAAGTAAGGCTTTTTAGGATATCTTAGTCTTCATAAAATGAATCCTAACTTAGAGAGAAATCATGCATGACACATCCCATTCCTGTTTCTTTTGTCTTTGGGGCCAACTTGAATCAATATATATATATCTCTCACCTTTTATAGCTCTTTTGGAGTAAAGGGTGTCCTTAATTAAGCAAAATAAAAATGAAATTTTATAATAAAGTTCTCATATTTATTTGATTGGTCCAACATTGTTTTAAGATAATTTCAATCACAAAATGTTTTGAAATCCCATTCTCTAGATTGTTCTCCCCAATACAGCCCATGTGTCTTGGTCATTTCTTAAGCCCCCAAGCACATTGTTGACATAGATTGTTTAACTCATAATTAGTTTGCTTCATCACTTGTCCAATTCTAATTAATTATATTGATTAGCAAAGTTTCTTCTAAACGGATAAACTTTATGTGTAATAGATACATATACAACTAGTCAATAACAGTGTGTTATGTCAATATGTATGACATATGTATATAACCAAGATGTCCGAACTAGTTTATACGTATCTCGACTAATCTTCGAGAGACTCTAACTTAAATCGCGGATGCTCACATGGGGAATTGAACCTAAGACAGTGTGTCTATCCACACTATCTCTAATTCGCTCTAACCGTTTGGGATATCCATGGACGGGTATGTGTGACATATATGTACTCTCTTGTTGACTAATTGTATGTGCATCTGTTACGCATAAGTTTTTTTGTTTTTTTCTTCTAAATACAGTTAAATAATCTAATTTAATTATGTAAATCATGAATATAAAGCTCTTAGAAACCCTTTTTTTGTGTCTAATGACTTGTCAAAATTATTATGTCCAATCTGCTTTAATGTTCCCCCAAATCTAGTGTGGACGTAAACAAAAATAAAGGTAACTAGTAACCATGTCCCTCTTTTACAAGGCAAATATTCAATTTTATCAAGGGGATAAACCCTATCCTTTTATTTGCATTATATAATTAAACAATAAAAATGGTCCTAAAATTTGGGTATGATGTTGTTAGCAAAAGAAGTTGGTGGAGACTAGGCATATGATTGCCATGAGGACTCCCTAGTCATTGAATTGGACAACTCAACTCTCTTGGAAGCACTTTGTGAGGACAAAAGTGGATTCCAACTTTAAGAGTTACATAAACAAATACATATAGAAAAAGCACTTTAGAGGTTTATTATATCAATACAAGCAGGGGCTAGAAGTAGAAGCCAACAACTACAAAAAGCACTTTTTAGCATACATTATTCCAAGGCTTTGATGTAAACTATGGGCTACAAGCTTGGAATTGGGTTTAGAAAAGTCTTTAATTTTGATTGTTGTACAAGGTGTATGTTGGGTCAAATGGGCTAGTATTCTCTTGTAACAAGCTAGAAGGTTAAGTCATGACAAACCGGTATATGTAACATTGATTAGAAGGTCAAGTCACTGATCAATTTTTTTTTTTTTTTTTTAAACCAAGATGTTTGAGTCAGTTTATACGCACCTCAACTAATCGTCGAAGAAAACTAACACAACAACCTATCATCATAGTCCACCACTTAAATCGCAAATGCTTAAATGGGGAATCAAACTTAAGATCGTACGCTAGTGATGGCAATGGGCCGGGCCGGGACCGGGTACCCCTTGGCCCAGGCCCAAGCCCGACCTCATGACACAGGCCCAAGCCCGGCCCGAGCCCGCTACGGGTATGATAGGCAAAGCCCAAGCCCGGCCCGACGGGTTTTTTATAACCGCAGGCCCGGCCCAAGCCCGCCTTTTTTAATAATGTTTATTTTTAAATATTAATAAATTTCAAATTTTTTTATATTTTTAATTTTAGAAATGGTTTTTAAATATTAATTGAAGCTATTTCCACAAATAATTTAAGTAATAAGTGAGCAATTAAAACTCCATAATAGTTGATTATACTAACTTTTCAGCTGTGCATAATATGTTATGGTGAAATCCACTTTAATACGTTGAACCAAATCCATCTAACTCATTTAAAGGCAATTTTAACATGTTAAACCTTTAATATGGGATGAAAATTGAGGTTGGGGTTTGGGAAAAATGGATATATATATAGGATAATATTGTAATTAAATATATAGTATAAGGGTAAATTAGTAAAATTAATACTAAAATTTTCGGGACGGGCCGGACCGGGCCTAAAGATATACCCATGCCCGGCCCGTACCCGAGGTCGGGCCTTAAAATCAAGCCCAGGCCCAAGCCCAAGCCCGCCAACCTCGGGTAAAGCCTGCCCCTTTTGGGCCGGGCCGGGTACCCGAAAATGTCGGGCCCATTGCCATCTCTATCGTACGCCTATTCACGTTATCCCAATTGACTTTAACTATTTGGACTACTTTTGGATGGATAAGCCATGATAAATCAAAAGAAATCGTAATTACAAAACTGGTAATTAAAAAAATAAGGTTTGCATCTCTACTAACAATTATATCTTTTGATTTGATGATATGCGTTTGATTTATCAGTTTATATCTTTGAAATCAAGTTAGTCGAAAAGGTTAAAGATTTTCTAAGGCATTCGTTATAAAATGTGGACTGTTCAAGGAAAAGTGCTGGTGAAATTGCTTTATTAATGTTGACTTAATGTTGACTATTTCTCTTTCAATCTCCTAAAAATATAACCATTTTTAACTACCTCAAAGAAATTGGTTGGTGTTCGGCTACTTTTCTTTTTAGCTAACTTCTTAAAAATGAAATGTTTCGTACTTGGATTTACAAAGTTCAGGAGATTTGCTCCTAAAACTTAATTCTGACTAAATGATGACATGATAAATAGTTTGCAACTAGTCAGACATAACCTATTACAAACTGACTAATTAAAAGTTACCACATCGTGTTTATAAGAAAAAGTTTATAAACGTAATATTAGCCATTCGTGATACATGGTGTTTTGGGTATATAGGGTAGACCTCAAGAGGTTGTCAGATATTATCCCTACATGGAAAGAAAATCTCAAGTGTTGATTCCTTATTCCTCTCAACTTGAGAGTTAATGAATTTGTTACACAATATTTACAACAAAAGCTTTAGTTGAGAGTTGGATTGGCCTTAAAAGGAATTACATTTTCAGTTTTTTGGGTTGTGGTTCCTCATCCATGTTTGAGCTTTCTTCAATACCATCGTCGTGGAAATATAACTTAACGCCACACTTCTTCACATTGTAATCTTCTCCACTGAAATCAAAAGTAACAGACCCGGTGTCTGTTCTTCCCCACCAAATTGAATCACAATCTATCAGGATTACATGATCTGACATAAGCCTGTAGCATTGAAATTTATGCCAGTAGGTATCTCAATGCTCCCCACCGTCTTACCATATTGGTCTTTGCCAATCGAACAGAAAAAGATTTGGGAGTTTGTCATGGTCTGGAAATGCTACAACAAGACACACAGTGTAGCTTAGCATGGGATCATTCTTAGGAAAAGTAAGTGATAGCTCAAAAGTTAAAGAAGATCCCACATTTTGGAAGCTCAACCACTCTGGAATTTTTTTTCCAGGTACAAAGATAGCTCCTATAAAAAAAAATTTCTTTACCTAGAACATCATTTAACAATAAATGTTAGAATATAAAATAAAAATCATTATATAAAGGAAAAGTAGACTATAAAAGTTATACCTTTTTCTCCATGGCTTTGAGTATTTTCCGAGCATTACCCAGTTTAAAACAATTACCAAAGTTGAGGTCCGCCACTGACAATAATTTTCAGTCAGAACATACCTCCAACGATTTGGATTTCTTTCTAGGTTACACAATGTTTTTTCCCATTTTGATTTTTTCTTCCCAAATAGCGAAGAACCCAAAGATTTAGGAGCTAATGGAATACCTTGAGCAAATTCCATTACCCTTTCTAATAGGTCCTTGTAATCTGCAGGGGGCTCATCCAATTTAAATGCATAACGACTAAAAAGTTTAAGAGCTTCATCAGAGATGGTAATCCCTTAACCTCATACATGTTATAACTACTCACTCCACAAATTTTAAGCACTTGTTTATCCCTTGCTGTCACAATGATTCGACTTCCACAACCAAAACATTCAAGATGTCCGATTAACTGTTCTATTTGCTCAACAGGTCACATCATCAAAAACAATGAGAACTTCCATATTGTGAAGCCTACTTTGGGTGAAGGTGGACTCTAAAATAGCCGATCTGTCCTTTAATATTGCAGCAAGAAGATCTTGACTCAAACAACTCAATCCAAATCTTTCTGACCCTTTCCTAACATTATCTTGAAAGTAGACACTTTCAAATTGACTTGAGATTCTGCTGAATACTGCACGAGCAAGAGTTGTCTCGCCTATACCACCCATTCCCCAAATCCCAACACTCTGGCTATTTTAGAGTCCACCTTCACCCAAAGTAGGCTTCGCAATATGAAAGTTCTCATTGTTTTTGATGATGTGACCTGTTTAGAGCAAATAGAACAGTTAATCAAACATCTTGAATGTTTTGGTTGTGGAAGTCGAATCATTGTCCTTTAATATTGCAGCAAGAAGATCTTGACTCAAACGACTCAATCCAAATCTTTCTGACCCCTCCCTAACATTATCTCAAAAGTAGACCATTCCCCAAATCCCAACACTCCTGGAAACATCTTTTGACTCAAGACGTGATAGCAACAAAAGTTCCTCTATTTTTTATTCTATCCCAACGGGGTTCTTGTATTCACTTAGGGACATTTTATTCAGTTTTTCATTATATCTTCGGCAATATTCTGTACTAACACAGCCTCAGACCTACCAAAATATAGAACAGTTTAGTAAGTTTCATTAAATCAAAATAGAAACAAGAATGCTTTTTGATTACAATATCTCTGCTAACAAATTGTTTGAATTAAGAGAAAACAACATAATGGATACATTCCATAGCAGTTACCTAATGTCAAACTAATAATATTCCATCAGGCCTTGAGAAAGAACCATAACAAAGAGTAAAATTCATAGTTTCTCAAGTTATGATCGGTTCATTAGAAACTTCGGTAAAGCTCATAAGAATGTCATGAGTTACTAGTTTTATATTTTTGTTTAGCTCATAAGAATGTCTAGTTCAACTCAGTTTAGCATCAAATTTATCCGTAATTAAATTTATTAAAATAAAAATATAAACGGAATTCATTTTATTATGTTTTTGAAAACATTTTGAGCCCCATATTAACTGTATCCTTCCCAGGCTGATATAAATATCAAATAATCTACAATATCTTAAAATTCTTGTTCTTTAATTTTCTTAAATATTACAATTTTAGAATTTAATTTTTCACATTTAAATATTTTACTAGATTTTTTCATTAATGATATATATGAAATATCTAAATACTAGGGATATTTTTTTGTCAGTTTTATACTGTATATAATAAATTAATTTCTTTTCCCCAAATGAAGAAGAGAAGTTTTCATCCATTGAACAAACTTAAATATCAGCAAAAAGTAATTGTAATTGGGAAATTGTTACCTAAAGTTACTTGAATCAAATCCGGATAGATTAGCTGCTTCTTTCAAAGCATTCCTCCATCTCAACACCTTCTCTGAGCTCTGCTCTTCTTCATGGTTCACAAATGCTTCTCCAAATGTCCCTTCTTGGTGTCTTACATGCGATGGAACTACTTGATAGAAAACTGGCTCTACCATCAGACCTCTCGCTTTCTTGCAATCAATGATCTTTTCAAATTCTTCAAGGCACCATCCAGATGTAACATACCCTTTCGAGAAGACAATAACTGCGATAATTGATTCTCCGATCGCTTTAAAAAGTGCTTCTGAAATTTCATCTCCTCTTTCAATATCATAGTAATCAATGAAAGTATTGATTTTCTTCGAACACAGAGCAGCATAGAGATGGCTTATAAAGTTGTCACGTGTATCCTCACATGATATTTTTCAGAAACTCTGGAAGAAGCAGAAGATGATGAAGCCATTATCACGCTTCAGACTTGATGAAAGAAGAGAGTTTACAGAAATGGGTATGTAGATATGAGGTGGCAATCCATGTGATTTACGAAAGAAAGAAATCTCAACCGTTATATTTACACAACAAACACAGAATGACAATTCCTAGACCGTAGGATCTGTACCCTTTTTAAGTAAGAACAGTAAGCAAAGATGCTACGTTGCGTTTAGCTTTAAATAGTTGAAGACTTGGGTCTTTAGTTGGAAAGCATATGCTGAAACGTCGACATTTTGGTGTGCGTTTGGTTTGGTTGAGTACTTATATCTATATTCCCAATCCTATTCCCTAAATATTATTTAAAAAATATTAGTAATTAAAATAATTACTTTTAGATATTTTAAGTTTATTAATTTTACTAAATACCCTAAAAAAAGTTTAAAATTAGCAAAAATACCCCCACCCACTCATACTTGTCAGATTCCGACAACCACCGTCGGTGGTAGCCAGAATCTGTCACAACGGCTTAAACCAAGCCCGAAACTGATCAGTTATTCACCGAGGCCAGATCCATAGTGGATCTGGCTGGAAAAGGCCAGACTTGGCCATCGTTCACCGAAAACGACGGCTATATCTTTGGCCATCAAAGATGTACCTTTGCGGCCGCCGACGACCACATTTGGGCGTAGATCTGGCCTTTTCCGGCCAGATCCACCATGGATCTAGCCGGAAAAGGCCACAGCGACTCGTTATGACACAGATTCGACCGGTCTGTGTCGTAACGAAATTTTCCAGCCAGATTCTGACGGTGGTGGCTGAAATCTGGTACTACGGGTGGTGGGGGTATTTTTATCATTTTACATATTGGGGTGTTTAATTAAATTAATAAACCTTGGAGTTTTTTAAATAAATTTTTAAATTTTATCTCGTAATACTCTCCTATCCAACTATCCAAAATTATTCCTAAAATCTTATCCAAAATAATGAACCAAACGCAAAGGATTCTGTCAACTCCTCCTTCTCAAACCTTAACTCCGTTTCTTCCATCACACTACCGTTTCTTCCATCACACTACTTTTTTCAACCTTTGACTCTTATCAGTATAGGGTGTGTTTACAATTCCATGAATATACATTTAATCAATTAAAAATTCATTGTATTGAACCAATCTAATCAATTGAATATGAATTTATTTACTAAATATATATTAATTTAAATTCACTGTACTTAATTAAATAATATTCATTGTATATGATTTAATTAAATGTATTTGGGTGCATAATTGAATTGAATTAAATGTATTCATTGTACTTGATATCTTTAAACGTATTCAACGAAGTAAATTAAAAATAATCTTTATATAAACAAATACAAAGTCTTATTATATTTCGTAATTACAATCTAAAAATCAACCATGACACATGAGATGCGTAAAGAATTATGCGAGTATAGTAACTACAAACGAATTACAGCAATAGAGTTTCTAAAAAATTTCACTTGAAACTTAGTCATGAAAGATGTTTTCAACATGGATTGTTTTATAGGTTACAATAACCTGATCACTCTCTTGCAACTTGAAGGAAAAAAACAAAGGCTTACCATTGTTATTTGTTGTAAAGAGGATGGCTCATCGGAAAAGTAAGGCTGGCCTTATAGAGACCAAAAAACACCAACATCTAGTCCAAAAGCCCTATTGTTTACATTTGGGCAACTTCATACCAAAAATAATTATGGGTGCGTTTGGTATGATATTTTTAGCCATATTTTCAACCAGATTTTGGAGATAGCATTTGGTTGAATATTTACACAATAGAATCTTGAAAATATTATCCTGACTGTTTTATGACCGTTTGAAGACAGTTGCAGTCCTCCTTTTATTTCACGGGTTCACTTTTCTTCTTTCACTGCTTCTTCACTTCACTTGTTCACCATTTCAGTTTATATTACGACAGTTTCAGTCCTCCTTTTATTTCACGGTTTCACTTTTCTTCTTCATTGCTTCTTCACTTCACCATTTCAGTTTACATTATTAGCTTCTTCACTGCTCCTTCACTTCACCATTTCAGTTTACATTACCAACTTCTTCACAGCTCCTTCACTTCACCATTTCAATTTACATTACCAACTTCTTCACTGGTTCTTCACTTCAACATTTCAGTTTGCATTACTAGGTTCTTCACTGCTTCTTCACTTCACCATTTCAGTTTGCATTACCAGGTTCTTCACTACTTCTTCACTTCACCATTTCAGTTTGCATAACCAGCTTCTTAACTGCTTCACCACCATCAGTTTGCATTACCATTTCAATTGCCAAAGGATCGTCACAACCCCACCACAACCACTGACGGACGACTCAGATCTGTCATCGTCAAGCCATAAACCATCCAATCGTGACAACCCCAACGCAACCATCGACGGACGACTCAGATCTATCACCGTCAAGCCAAAAACCATCTGATCGTGACAACCCCACCGCAGCCACCGACGGACCACCACGAATACCCACCGTCAAGCCACAAACCCTCCGATCATTCACCGTTAAGCCACAAACCTGTCAAACCGTCAGATCTGTCACTAAAAATATCTGATTTCAGTGAAGGGAACAACGTGAACTGGAAAGGAATGTTTTGGATTTTTTTTTGCAGGTTTGTATATGTATTGTACATGTTGGCTGAGGGCGTGAATTTGTTTGGTGCTGGAGTTTGCGAATGAGTCTAATTTGTTGGTTTTTTTTTTTTTTTTGTTTTTGTTGCAGGTTTATAATCTGTTGTAGCGTGAATTTATTTAGAGAAGGGAAAGAACTGTTTTGAATTTTTTTTTTTTTTTTTTTTTTT